TTCTCAGGACACATACTATTATAAATTGACTCATTTTATCACATTTTTCATCAGAAAAAAAGCTCTTTTTTTTATCTACATCAATTTATATGTATATTTAAACTATCTATGAATGTCCAGCATTACGAACTAGTTCTAAATATGCATTTTATCATCAAAATTGATTGTTGATATCTCTTCTTAATAATATTTATAAATAATTTCATCTCTATAAATATAGTTTATTTCAAACATTTTCTTCTAATTCAACTAAAAATGAGGAATATTCTTTCACTATTGAACTTAGTGTATTTACTATTTGAACATTTGAAGACTAGTCAATTATTTTTTCCGTTCTATGCGATAAAACAGAAGGAAGAAAAAAAGAAGAATATATAAATCACGTGAAGTATTGAACGATTTCTGAACATTTCATTTTCGAATTTGTGATACCTCGTAATGAACGTTCTGTATGTGGTGGATGTGGAATATCATCGGATAGCTTTGTAGTGCGTCGGGCAAAAAATAATCTTTTACGATTATTTGTATCTGTTCGATCATCTAAGCATATTCAACCTGAAGATCAAGTGTGTAACAAATGCTATTCAAAATTTTTAATTTGGTACAAGAAAACAAGAGGAACTTATGATAATCTGTTAAATGAGAATTTTCCTGCTGATCAAAATAATTATGATGAACATGAAGATCAGGTATAGATGCTGATTATAGCTGAGTTATCATAAAATGAATTACACATATTTGTATGTATGTAGATTATTGTCAAAACTACAGATTGAGAGACACAAACAGACAAGGAATCACCATCAATTATTATTCCTGTACATCGAACTACAAAATCTCACGGGTAAATTAACTCGAAATTATTCTGCTTCGTTTTTCATATATTCTCCTATATTTGGTTTGTAGAACTTGCATTGTTTGTTCGGCAAATGTCTCTTCTTCATCTCACTTGGTTTCTGAAGAAGAAAGAAATTTTATTTTTTTCAAACGTGGTATTTTTATTCCAGCAGGTGTACGGTGCTGTCGTGATCATGTTGATAATCAACGATTAAGACAGGATGCTGTCGAGCAAATATTTGCTGGTCACTACGATGAACTGTCATTAAATACTCATGATGTTCAAAATATATTATTCGACTTTCGTTCGTTTATGACAAATGTCAAGTCGTTTGATTTTGATGATCCAACAAGTTTATCGGACGAGTCTTATTTGAATTTTACGGGTCTTCGGAAAGGGTTTTTTTTTCTTAATGAAATGAAAGATAAACATCTCTAATTCAGATCAATTTGAAAATCTATTGGGCTATATGTTCAACATGCGAAACAGTCATAATCGTTCTGTTCGTACGGCACTTGCTGTTTTCCTGATGAAAATGCGACTCGGCATCAGTAATCGTGTGCTTGGCAGCTTGTTTCACTTTAAAAACCAACGAACTGTTGCTCATTTAATTCACTCAGTACGAGTGGCACTGATGCAAGATTTCACCTCTCATTATCTTGGTTTACAGCATATAGATCGACAAACTGCTCTTGATCATCATCAAACAGCTATTGCTACTGAATTATTTACTACTAATTCTAACCAGCTCTGCATCATCATGGACGGAACTTATATTTATATTCAAAAATCTAGTAATAATGAAATGCAACGACGGACATACAGTTTTCACAAACATCGACATTTAGTGAAACCTATGATTATTACTACCACCGTAAGCCTTTTCTTGTTCATCTTGATTTGTAATGAAAAAAATATTTCTATTAGACTGGTTATATACTATGTTGTATTGGTCCGTTCCTTGCCGATGGCAAGAACAATGATGCACCTATTGCTAAACAAGTACTTTATAGCAATGGAGAAGGAATTTTATCATGGTTACATGATGAAGACATTGTTATAATTGATAGAGGTTTCCGTGATGCGGTTAAAACGGTCGAACTCTTTGGTTTTCATGCAGCTATGCCCCATTTCCTCAATGGCAGCAAGCAATTTTCTACAACTGATGCTAACTATAATCGTTGTGTAGCAAAAAGCCGTTGGGCTGTTGAAAGTGGTTAGTTTCACCATTTTTTTTTCTTACAACCTTAATGAAAACTTTCTTTCAATAGCCAACGGCAAAATCAAGCATTTTAAATATTTCAATCAAACGATACAAAACGCATCTATTCCATTTCTCAGTGATTATCTTCATATAGTATGCAGTATCATCAATGCATACCAAACTCCAGCCATCAAAGATGCTCATTCTGGGATAGGAATGGCAACTGAAATGCTTTCTCTTCTTGATACTGAAAATACATTGCAAAAACATCTTTCATCAATGACTAACACTAGATGGAGAAAATACGATGCCAAAATGTGTATTTTTCCTATACTGTCTATCGATGACATTCGTCGATACTGTTTCGGTATGAGCTAATTTTGAGGTTACAATATGTTGGAAAGAATCTAGAGAAATTCTAGGTAATTACCAGCTTAAACAAGCCAAAGGTTATATACTAGAACATTTGCAACCCTCGCAAACTGTTCCTACTGATCTTGAATTTATTGTCGAATTGTGTGAACAACAATCTGATCTCATCAGAATTCGATTTTCATCTCGGCATTCGACTCAAAAGCACTACATAGCTACTGTACAATTCGACAACTACAAAGAGGAACCTATTCTAGGATGGTATTGTACCTGCCCAAGATGTTCTGGAGTACTTGGTTGTTGTTCTCATACGGCAGCACTTCTTTGGTATCTTGGCGTGTGTCGAGCAGAGTACGATACCACAGACCATCCACTCTCAGCACAATATCTTCTTGAAACTGTCGACGATTGCATTCAGTATGCTGACCCAGTAACAACTGATGATGAAGATGATGATAATGGAGTCAGATATACACTTAATGATCATCATTCAGAAAGTGATTCAGAAACTTCTGATGACTAGTTTTTTTCTATTGTTCTTAATAATGATTCGCTGACATACGTTCAAAATCATCGCGAAAAAGCACTAAGATATACTTTGAACTATTAAAATCTCTGCACAAATATGATTTGTAAAAACGAGAGAATATTCCTCATTTTTAGTTGAATTAGAAGAAAATGTTTGAAATAAACTATATTTATAGAGATGAAATTATTTATAAATATTACTAAGAAGAGATATCAACAATCAATTTTGATGATAAAATGCATATTTAGAACTAGTTCGTAATGCTGGACATTCATAGATAGTTTAAATATAAATATAAATTGATGTAGATAAAAAAAAGAGCTTTTTTCTGATGAAAAATGTGATAAAATGAGTCAATTTATAATAGTATGTGTCCTGAGAAAAAAATTGGCCAGAAAATTCAGACGATGGTGACTATATCAGTCGATAGCCCTTCAAAAGGGCTATCGATTGGTATATAGAGATTTACTGCAACAGTTCTCTAATAGACCTTTATAGACCTGAAAACTATATAAAGAGTCGTTTTCTATAGCACTATTAAAAGTATTTTGATTTACAAAATTATAAAAGAATAATTTTATAGACTTGTCTTAATAGAGATCGACGCAGAATTTTATGCTCTTTCTAATGAAATAAACCGCAGGCCGATACGACATTCTAAAGATGAGATATTGACGAAATACCACTCCATTATGAAGTATGATAAAATATGATAAAATTATATGGTATTTGATGGGGGTAGGTGACTCAGAATACATTTAAAATGGCTTGAAACTATTACTAAAAGACTCAGCTCTCAATTTTACACTAACTTATATATGTAATTTTCAGAAATAAGAAATGGGCAAATTTGACGTCTTATCCGCCCCCGTCCTTTGATGTTTAATTTCTTTATAATTATTTAAAAACTTTTCTGTTATTGATGAATGATAATCAAGATCTATTTTATATTGAATAGGTGAACATGTTATTAATTGTTGAAAACGATAATTAAGATTTGAAAATGCACGATAAACATATAAAGCATCAAGATAATCGAATATTTCATAAAAGATTTCATTTGAGATATTTTCAATAGAATTTATTAATTCATTTAATTTATTTTCTTTAGATAATTTATTAAAAGTTAACTTTCGTTTCATATCAGCCATGTGTTTACGCATAAAGATTTTAAATAATATTCAAGAAAATATAAATATATAGATTGTTTTATTTTTCTTCCTTTCTCTCTCATTTTATGAATAGTCGTTTATATTCGTCCGTCCGTCTGTCATGAATTTATTCATTTTGATTTCGTCTGATGATACTGATACTAGCAAATTTTGATAGTATTAACATCTTTGTAATACTGCTGCTCGCTGGTACCGTCTGTTTTTCTCTTCAAATTTAACCTTTAAATCTAATGGGTGTGGGTGTGGGTGTGTGATGAGTAAAACATTACCCACAGCCTCACCCAATCACGCACACCCATCTACCGGATCCATGCTAGTTCATCATGTTGATCGTCGTCAAACTGTTGACCATAACTATTAGATCAACCAGTGTTTGCGACCTTTGATCGACGAGATCAAATGTCAGAGAACTTCTTATGGAACTCGCGGGATCAAAATGAATCAGGAGAATGGTTAGCCACTCAGTTCATTCGTTTCTTGTTTTTGTTTTCGTTATAATCGATTTTCTTGCAACATGAGATACGTGACAGAGACTCATCAGACACGATAAGAAGAAGAAGAGAACGCAATGAAAGAAAGAGAAAAAACACGTGAAAAACGGGAAAAAATTGCATATCGGCAAAAGTACTGATCATTTCTATCAGCGAATGCCAAGTAAAAATGCTTTTTCTCCAAAATTTACTAACTTATAAGGAGTTAGGGGATGATCAATTAATACAGAGAAATAGAGTGAAACGTGCTCTATCGATTGATAAAAAAGGAAGTGTTTTTATGTTTTTTCTTAAGAGAAAAATGACTCTCTCACTACTTATGGATGGTCCCAATTAATATGAATGAGCGAACCAAGCAACATCAACTCGTTTTTTTTCTGTGCTATCTACTCGATGCATAACCCTCCTTCCCAAAGAAGATAAATCTCATCCTGGGGCATTCCGAATATCACAGAATGCACGGAACTGTATGAGGATGCCGCATTTTGGAGTGTAATTCTGTTGTCTGTCGTTGACATTTATCCAATAAGAAAATAATTAGATGAAAATCACTTGCAAGTTTTTATTTCGACTACATCAGTTAGAAATATTTTTGGATGTTAGCAATAATTCGGAATGCCGGAATGAGATCCCCTCCCTCTGGTGCTTCTAGTAGAGGGAATAAAATTGAAAGTACAAAATCAGATTTCGTCAGGGGATCGTTTTTGGCTCTTAAAGGCCCCCCCCCCCCCCCGCCCCGCCTCGTGTTTTCCCGTTAACTTACACTATGATGAATAAAAAAAGGTGTAACAGAAACAATGCTAAAGCCAGTTATTGCAGGNATTTGATGGGGGTAGGTGACTCAGAATACATTTAAAATGGCTTGAAACTATTACTAAAAGACTCAGCTCTCAATTTTACACTAACTTATATATGTAATTTTCAGAAATAAGAAATGGGCAAATTTGACGTCTTATCCGCCCCCGTCCTTTGCTTTGGTTACAAATTCTTGTAATAAATTATTTTTCTAATAATTATAAACTGATATGTTCTATTCAATATTGTTTCTATTCTATGTATATCTTATAATCAACCAAAACTTTGTCCTAGTACAAAATGGAATCCAAATGCTATAACTTTTCTTAATAATACTATGGTTGGTACGTCTCCTTATGACATTTTCATTAATACTAACAATACAGTTTTTGTCGCTGCGACAAGCTTTAATTGCATTCAATCATGGTCCGAAAAAAATATCACTCTGATGAAAAATATATCGTCTAATTTGGCTTTTCCATACAGTGTCGTTGTTACAATTAATAATGATATTTATATTAGTAATAATATATCAAACTATCGAGTAGTAGAATGGACATCAAATGCGACAACTGGTGTAAATGTGATGTATATTAATGGAATTTGTTATAATATATTCATTGATTTCAATGAAAATCTTTATTGTTCTATTAGTAATGAACATCAAGTTATTAGAAAATTATTTACAAATGATGCTAATACAACAGAAATTATAGCTGGTACTGGATCTGCTGGACTTGCATCTAATATTCTTAATATACCTCGAGGAATTTTTGTTGATCTTTATTTCAATTTGTATGTTGCAGATTGTAACAACGATCGAGTTCAATTATTTGCACAAGGTTATGTAAATGCTTACAACTATTATAGGAAATGGAACATTAAATTGTCCGACTGGAATTGTTCTTGATGCTTTTAATAATTTGTTTGTTTCGGATTGTTATAATCATCGTATAATTGCTTTAGGATCTCAAGGATTTCGATGTATAGTAGGATGTACTAGTATCAATGGCACAGCGTCTAATCAATTAT